CCCCAAAACCCCAAAACCCCAAAACCCCAAAACCCCAAAACCCCTGGAGGAATGTGAAAGATTGAGAGTATAGAGTGGGTGAAATATCTGATAAATTCTGAATATGGTAGATTAGGGGGTTGATAGGTCTATGATGGATTGGATTCTGTGTTGAGATGTTTGGTCCAAATTGTCGAGAGCTTCTGTGATTTGGTCGTTGGGATAACTGTCTGATGAAAGGCTTTTTAATATTTTTCCAAATTTCTTCATTGTTTCATGTTCCATTTGATCTTCTCTACAAATTTGCCCAAGAAGGACAACAAATTGTTTGATGTTTTGATTATCTTTGCCTATAATAAGGGAAGGATTGCTTAAAGCCACATCAGCTAAGAAATCATTCACAAATTTTGCTTCAACAAGATCATACTTCAGTGGAATGTGCTGGAGTAAGAATTCAAAAGTACTTTCCACATCAATTGATTGATGATGATGCTTCATCACTTTAACAAGAGCAGATATAGCATTATCTTTAGCGTAACCATACTCTGTACTATCTTGAGACCCTCAATCAATTTCAATGGCTTCCTTAAGAGTCTGAATAGCATCAACAGAGTACTTCCCAAATAACTGTACCTTTCAACTGCGAGCTAGAGTAACCCCAATTCCATAAACACCTGCTTGCCTGATAGTTGGATTTTCATTCTTTGATCACTTGACAAAAGCATGGAAGCATTCTTCATATTTCTCTTCAAGGATTTCAAGTCCAACATGCTCAACTACATCATTGATGATATATATTCCAAGCTTCTGCTTTGTAAATGAAGCTGCATCATTAAGATAGGACGGCAAGAAATTATCAAAAAGGTTGGCTACAATGTTGCTGCACTTCCCTTTGTGAGTTTTAAAAAGCATCCCTATTGCTTCAGAAAGCACAATTTGAAGTTCATCTTCATTTTCATTCTCAAGTCCGTCTACTTCTTCATCTATTTCTCGAGCATACTCTAAGTTGACGTCCTTCCGTTTATCTGATTTAACGATTTCTTCTAAGAATATATTGCCTATTTGATTGACTTGTTCTCCACTCATGAAATCTCCAGTAGCTTCAATACAGCTCTCTATAGACTTGAACTGAGTCTGAAGTAGAGTGGTATCAACCTCTTCTTTAATTACTTCGAGGAGGACTGGGATAAACTTCTCAGTATATGGAAGAACCCCTTCGAGTCCTTTTTGATGACTCTTGATAGCTGAAATCATCAGAGGCAAAGAATTAGCAATTCTTGTTCTGACTTCATCGTCATATTTGCAATTTAAGAGAGACAGGAACAACTCAGATGTCTTCTCTACATATGGAGCATAAAGCTCTTCCAGTTCCTCAATGAATGTAGAAAGCATCCCAATTCCTGCTTTTGTCTCTTCTAGTGGAGTTGTTTTAATTTCAGTGGTGCTTTCATCTGATAAATTCTTTACTTCTTCAAGATGCTCACATATGCTAATGCTTGAAGAGTCCTTGCTGGTCATTGGCTGTAGACATGACATTTTGAAGATCTCTGGCATTAATTCAGGCATTACTGGTGCAAACTCTTTACTCATTAGCATGCATAACCTTTGCCAAGCATTAAGGATATAAATTTTCTGAGGATCATCGTCAATTTGATCAAGGTGTTCTTTCTGGATTAAAATTAAGGCCCTGGCAACTTTCTCAAAATGGGGTTTGAAATGGTCGGCTCCAATTGACGAAGCTGCAATAGTCAAACTTTCAATTGCCTGACCTTTAAATTTCCTAAACTCATTTGGAACTTGCTGAGAGATTACTGGAAGAAGTTCATCACACAAGCTCTTAAAATATGGAATAAAGTCTTCATGTAAGGACTCAGATAATGATGCAATAGAGCTGATTGCACATGCTGCCACATCGCTGGATTTACTCTTTATCAATATAAACAGCTTATCGAAAAGTTTATTTCAGTACTGAAGCCCAATCTCTTGTGGGGCACACTCAAAGAAGTTAGTAATTGCTGCACAAGCATGAGCCTTTACTCTATTGACTCGATCATCCAATACATCATATATCATTGGAATCAAAGTGGTGTGATATGTTTCTATGAATGGAAGGCTTAAATCAGTGGCAAATTGTCCCAAACAATGCAAAGCTGCATACCTCACCTTTGGATGATCATGTTTACAATGTTGGATAACAACAGGAATCATTGAGCTAATATCTTCGATGTCATTAACGTATTCAGCAATTTGTGAGAACACACTTAACCCTGCATTTTTGTACTTCCAACCATCATTGCTAATCGCCTGTTGAATTATGTTGCACCCAAGAGGAAGTAAGATTTCCTCACCTAAGCTTGAGAAAAGCCTATCAATAATATTCCTTCCAAATGTCTATAAAACCTCTGATTAAACTACTTCTGATACTGTATCTTAATTTGAAACCAATCATAGAGCCCAAAGCTTAGCTGAAGAGCTCAATTTTAAGGCTCAATCTAAACAATGGCTAACTCTAAAAAGTACTGAACTAAGTAAAAGCAAAGGGTTTGGCTAAACAAGGATTTAATGGATTCTTAGCAGTTCCAAATTGATCGAGAAAGTATTCTTTCAAGAGTTTATTTGCAAGATAATTCATGCTTTAAAAGAGAGCCAGCCAACAGCTGAAATTTGATATAAACTAACTTATGATTCAAAAATCCTAATCTCAAGTTTAAGAACTTAGATGAGTAAAATCTAAAATTTTCTTACTACAATGTCATTCTCATTTTCTTCCTCAGCCTGAGAAGGATCTGAAGGATCCAGCCACTCTTCTGTTACTTCTTCATCAATACCAATCATGAGTTTGAAGATCATATCTAGCAGATGTTTTCAATGATTCTCGTTATTACTAAGTAGCCTTGGCTCCCTTTCAGCTATAGTAATAAGGATCTCAATTGGTAGCTTCTTTAATGCCTCATTCAAATTCTCACTCTCTTCAAACATAGAACCGAACACTTGAAGCAAATCTGAAAAATTATTTTTAAAGAATTTAGGCTCGGAATCTACCATTGATGTGAACTCTTCCATTGATTCTTCAAAAATCTGATACTCTGCTTCCTTTAAGGCTCTCATTGGAACTTTGACCATGGTTTCAAGCAAGCCAACAAATTTTGGTACATCTCTTGGTAATAAGACGCAGAGGAGTTGACTGATTACCTGAAGTGAGGCAAAAGCAACAGTAATATCCTCATTCTTGAGAGCAAATTCAAGCATATTGTAAAATATCTCATGATCTTGAATGATCTGTTCGCTCATGGTAATAACTGCTTTACCATACACAGTCAGTCCTGTTTTCATCTGAATCGGACTTCCTTCACTAACCATCTGCTTACAGTGTTCGAATAACTCTGGCCATATATCATTATGATCACAGAGGTTGATGCTAACTGCTATTTGTGCTGAAAGCTCTGCTACCCTACCCAGCATCATTTCATTTGTCTCTCTACCAAGCACTTCTAAAATAAGAGGCTTAACATAGTCTCTGGTTTCTTGGCTGATCTTGCTCCATATGCCTTGCCCTTCTTGTTCACTTTCATTGGCATCTTTTCTCAAAAGGATAAGCGCAATAGATCTACAGTTCCCATCAAATTCAAGATCTGCTAAGGCTGTGACCATGTAAGCGAAGTATTTGTCAAAGTTAGCCTGCCTCACTTGTGTTAATTTGCTTTCAGCTTCTCTTCTAACCTCATTATCACTCGCCATCACTTGTAAAAGAAGTTCCTTCACAACTCCGAATTCATCAGAATCCATTTTAACCTTAATAAAAAATAAAACTAACTCAAAATCCTCTCTTAAATTCGGGGTTTTGGGGTTTTGGGGTTTTGGGGTTTTGGGG